GTCTGTCTGGAACATGCTAGCAATGGCCTGGAGACCACCACACTAGCCCCCTTCCCAGCTTCTCCCCTTCCGGATGGAGACGCATGGAGGTAATGCCAAATGCTGGGAGTACCAGGGGAGCTTAATGAAACCCCAGAATCCGACGCTCCAGTGGGATATAGGTAGTACCTGATTCATTCAGGCTCTTTTGAAACTCCCATCAAAGTGAACTGTTCAAGGCATGACCTTAAGGTAACACTTGAATCAGCCACAGAATCTAGACTTCCAGCTCTTTGCTTTAAATATAAGACCTATTCTTTCTTCTATATCCAGTGTATTCTGCTTGTAATTACCAGAAATTACCATTAGAGAAATCGGAGCTAATCTGAGGCTCATCTATGAGAGAGAATTTATGCCCAACTATTTAAATAAATTCTTGTTGAGCTAGTTTCTGGAGATTAAACTCTGTAATTTTATCTGTCACAGATGAGAGAAACTTGCTAGTACAATAGCACAATATCTTTAAAAAAAAAAAAAAAAAAAAGTACCTACCTAGAGAGAGAGTGGGTGTTTGCAAATGCTATTCAGGCAATATGAATTTCTATGATTGCGAATTAAATCACATCTAGTTGAACATGTTTAGTCCATTTTTGGTATCACACATCAGCCAGCTGCTACTTTTTAAGTGCTTTTGCACAATCTAGCACATGTTGGAAAAGTCTGAAGACAAAAAATTTAAAAGTTTGCTATCTGGATTTTGTTGTTGTTGTTGCTTAAAATAAGTTAAAAATCCTTTTAACTTATTTGCTGGGAATTACTTTTATTGAGAAACATCGGAACTTATTTAGTGTTTTGGACGAGCCACTTGAAATGGGAATTATGTGCCTTTTGCATAATACTATCTGCTGATACTAAACTTGGATGATCAGCTGCGATGCAGATAAAAATATCTTGCTGTGGCTACAATTCACATCAGAAAGTGGTCTAGATTTCCGTATGATAGAAGCTTGGAAGCTTTAGTTCATTTAGGGAACTTTAACATTTTTGTTCTATGTAATTAATTGGGCTGGACTGTAAAACTTCCTGAACACTTTGGGAAGCAGCAACCATGTCACAAGCTTATAACAAGGTTGTGATTTCATGGATTCCTTTTTTTGAGGGTCTCTGTAAGCAGATATGAGGACAGTGTATTTAGTTTATTTCCATACCACTAAATCGGCATTAATAGCATCTGAAAGTCCCATGTAAAGCAATCTAATAATTACCACACAAAATTTGAATTTTGTACTGATTTTGGAAAGAAGAGAGTTACAGATTGTATCTGAGTAAGGAAGTGAATATAAATAACATATGACCCTAGAGGAATATATTTGGCAAAAAATACTTCTCCCTGAGTCTTCTTTTGTAGTTTTTCAATATGCACATAGACCAAAACATCAAGAAGCAGAAAAACCTTTTTTTTCCTACTTACAAAACATCATTATCACAGGAAGATATAATTATATCCTATTCTGACAGCATCATCAGAATACCACAGAAATTCACTTTTAACAGAGATCTGGCAGTTTAAAGAAAGTATCAAAGGTCCCAATCAATAGATGGCAACTAGATTGCACCAATAAGTGGATTGTCATAATGGATAGTATTGGTGTGTTTTAGCTTGTTTGTGTTAAGCAGGACTCCTAGGAAAAATATTAAGGAAAGTGCAATGCTTAAATGATTAAGAGCTCACTTGGGTGTGATTTGTGCCTGACTTGAGCAGCACAGTATGCAGCATACCTCAATGCACAACCTGTTCTAAAAACCACCATTTTTTTAAGCAAGTCTCTCCTGCAATCCATATACCATCACAGGATACAGAGACACTGCAAAACATTTATCACTGACAAATAAATGCATAATTATGCAAAATGTTAATTAAAAATACAGTCAACAACCTGAAGTAAGCCAACAATAACTATTGTTCATAAGAATTAAGCCCCCCTGCACATGCTTTAAAGGTTGCATGTTGCAGGCACATCCCCAGTTTCACCAGGGAAAGTAAACATGCTTAAGGGTTACAAGACACAGCTCTTAATGACACCTCCTGGTGTGTCAGCACAGCACTGAATATTACTTTTCTCTATGAATTTTAAGAAAGAGATTGAGCATTTGAGAAAAGACAATTGCTTTTAAGCTCAGAATCCACCTGCATGTCAGATAAATAATGAAGCAGTAATGAGCTTGGTGGGACACACTCTTCCTTCAGTTTTTGATTGGCTATATTCCAGCAAAGGTCAGAAGATAAAATGAATAGCAAAAAAAAAAAAAAAAAAGCTATGCTTGCCTACCTAAATTGTGTAAGGAAATACAAAAAAGGCACTTAGTTTACATCATGATGCTTCACAGCAGATGACTTTTTCCAAAGCCAGACTGTTACATGGGCACACAAATCATCACCAAGTCAAAATAATCTGTGTGTTGTGCGATTTCAGCATGGAACACAACTACCAGTATGCCAAAAGTATATGTTGTGTTATATCCAGTAGTCTGGCACCCATAGCTAAAGCAAGTTAATGCTATTAATGGAAGAGAAATAAGATTTTTTTCTGGCTTGTTTTAGCAAACTATGTAGAGGATGCATTCCCACAAACAGCTGGGTAAGTTAAATAGTTATTGCTATCAAAAGGGGAATGGTCTCCCTGTTCTTCTATCCCATTTTAGCCATCTCCACTTTTATCTTATCTCTGGTACTCTTTGGAGCAACCTCTGAGCTGATCCAACTTATCAGTGCCTGACCAGGAAACAATATAATTTTGTTTGTTCCCCCTTGAAGTAGTTTTCTCTTAGGCTAATGAATTAATTCACCTCATGGAAGCTCAAACAAGTGCCAGGGAGGATGCAAAGGAAGTGGTGAGAATGCATGGCCCCCAGCAGAAAACAAGATGGAAAACAAGAGCTCTCCCTCTGGCAGTGCACGTTGGCCGACAGGCTCTCATGTCATCCTCAACATTCAGTCATAAAGCTGGCCAACTGAGGCTCTGATGGCTTCTGCTGGGGGCCATTCCATAAGGTTTTGAAAGAAGATACATAAGTAAAACACATAAATATGTGAGACTAATGAGCTTCCTATTGGAATCATAATGCTAGATTAAATCTACTTTAGGCTGGGTAATTGTAGGACATTTTAAAGTGTTTTAGAATCGTAACAGTCTTATAATCTTATTGAAAGGACAGGGATTTACAAAGGTTTAAAAAAAGACAAGACCAAGAGCATTCTTCTCAGTTATAATTCGCAAACGCAAGCTATAAAATTACATCGACTACTACCTGTAATGACAGTTAAATGAGGATTAAAAATACATATATTGAATTTCACAAATCTTATTAAGATCGTATAACTGAATCAGAGTTCAACCTATGCTTTATATCTAACTTAAGGTGAGAGTGATCTAAAAGTTTAAAGCCTATTTCTTTCTTTTAGAGATCCAGAGTAAATTCAGCGATCTAGCAGAGGATCACAATCAAGAAATATGAATTTTTAAAATATGCAAACAAAATGTCACATTAATTCTGCATAGCTTTCTTCAAAGACAGTCTTTGCATCCGAATTTTCATTTCTCCCACTGCAGTCTTTGACAGTATTCATAAAGAGAAACGACTGCTCAGGACTTTCTTCATTTCAGCTCTCCTCTTTCTCTTTGATCGTCGGGAGCGACGGGGAGCGTTGGCCAAGGCGGCGAGTCTAGCAGCGCCCCCTCCTGTTTCAGTGGTGTGACATGGAACCTGGAGCTGCCGAAACGATGCAAGGAGAAAATCCTGGGGGAGAAAAAAAATAGGAAAAGGAATTCTGAAACAAGCTATACTTGTATATGGAAAAAGTAAAGGGATATTAATGCTATCATGCCAGTCCAACCTTTTCAACTGCAGGGGCTGAAGATCAGTTTTGGTTCCTGTCTCCAGGGCTGCATGGTAGCTCTGTGCAGGTGTGGTAGGCAGTGTCTTCATCCCTGAATGCAGTGGCAGCCCTCCAAATATCTGATCATGCAGAAACTCATCTGACAGCAAGTCTCCTGTCCCACTGCTTCCTCCTCCTGTGCTAGGGCTCCGAGCACTGCTGTTCTCTGCTTGTGCTGCCTAAGCAACCAGTTTTCATCTCTTCTGATGCAAGTGTGGTGGGTGGACAGAATTATCTGATGGGCCAACTTCGTGCAATGAGTTAGCCCATCCTGTTTAATTAGACCATGAGTTTAGTCTAGCAGCTCCTTTATGCCGGCACTGCTATCTTCAAGCTCTCTCAGGTTTTCAGGAAGAGGTGCCCCAAACCGAAGCATCACGCTACTACTGTGTTTTGCCATACTGGGCTGAACAAAGCTTATGTGAGAACTTTCAGAGATCCTCCTCCATCAGTTATCTAATGTGCTGCCTGATCATATTATATATTTGCTTTTAAAAATATTGGTTCTGGGAAGTTTATGAAATGATCGCTGCTACATAAGAAAACAAATTCTTGGTAGCATTGCTGTACAAAGCAAATACATGACACTAATCAATGAAACTTATTTAAGCCCCAACTAGTCATTTCTGATGAAGGAAAAAAGTCATCAAATAAATAAGGAGAAAACGTCAGCACTGACAGAAACTGCAGCTGATGCCTGATCTAGCTAAAGAATGAAAATACCTAAAGAATGAAAGTTCAGGTATCTTTGTATACATTAACTTCCTACGCTGGAGTCTCTTTACTTCACTGACTTTTTCTTGTAACACTTGGGATTCTTTAGTTTTAAAAGATGCAAATGAAGTGCATTCTGTGCAGTACATGATTGTTAAAATATATGCAGGATATACTTACCTTGCAGTGCCACAAAAGGATATGTATTTATAGTTAAGGGAGCATTACTTTAGGCACAGGTACAACTGCAATGATAATAGAGCTAGGGCTGGGGGTTGAGGGGAGAGGTGCAGAATTCAAGTGTCTCATCTGCCTGGGAATACAGAGCCTGTAGTTTCTCCCTCCATATTGACCCCTTTTAATTTCTACAAATAAATTCACACCTGAATATAAATGTTGTCATTTACAGGATCCCATTTTCTCCTGATGGATGTTTTGAAGGATCTAGCCCATGCTGTTTCATCTGCACTGCGATGTCAAACAGGTAATCATAACACTCGCACCTTAAAATTAATAGGAGAAAAAAGAGAAATGTAAAGTTAGGTATAAGCAGTACCATGTTCTGTGAAAATGACTTTTTTTTTCTCTTGAGCTCTGTATCACCAATGTTATGGTCTGACAGGACAGGACTCTATTTTTGTTCATTTCTACAACTCTGATATGGGAAAGTCAGCAAAGACACTCTGGCACTCAGCATTTTTGTTGCAAGCTCCTGACTTTCTCCATTTCCATCAGCAATTGAATTTCCCAAAGCAAAAGGGACTAGTGAAGACTACAAACAGTTGAAAGGTATTATATAAAAGCAGAGAATGCCTGCAGGTTTCATGTGGGAAGGGGCACACAGGTTTCAACTCATTAATATTTTGAAGATGTAGTGACAAATGATATAATCTTCCTAAATTATACTCACATTGTTTTGGCTTTTTCCCATGTTTCTCCCCATACATAAACTCCATGACGTCTGACCAAAACAGCGCAAGAATCTGGGTATTGTTCCATTGCACGTGCCATTCTTTCCTTGAGATCTTTTTCTTCTGGTGTATTCTCAATAATGGGAACCACCAGTGTATCATCATATCTAAACAGAAAAAGAGGAGTTTGTGCACTTAAGAAGTGATGTGTTTGAAAGCATTTCCCCTGTGAAGGGGGATTCTTCTTTGATTGCTTACAGAGTTGTTACATTGTTAACAGAGTCTCAGCACTAGTGACTTGAAGCTCTTCTGTTGTGAGTCACACTGTGACATACAAGCTCTCAGCAATATCTTCAGCTCCCAAACTTACAGTATGCCTGCAACACCTGAACCATACTCAAGGCATCAAAAGAAAATAAAACTTTAATGTAATACGTTTAGCTGTTTTGTTCACATATCACCACTTTGTACTCCCTTGGCAATTTTTTTTTCTGAATTTCTTCATCCTGTATTGGCATAATCTACAAGCTTGATCTCAGATTAAATTATTTAAAAGAATCACATCATGAAGAAGGAAATGGGACTCTTTGCTGGAGAGCAGAAAAAAAAAATAGGTAGTCCAAAAAGCCCCTGGAAATAAGATTGTCCTGCTAAGGCATATAGAGTGAAGAGTCAACACTTGAAAAATAAACTGTCTTCTGTGATAGAGTGATTGGTGGGCTATATGTGATGTTAAGAGAGCTTGAGAACCCCAGTTCCAAAGACAAGATGATGCACGTTATTCAGTGGAACTTGCCTAATAGTTTCTTGTGAAGGAGGATTGGGATATTTGGCATTGTTTGAACCTTAATTAACACTGGCAGAAACTTGTTTAAATAGTTTTAATAAATCCCCAGTTCAAGTTAAGGTTTATCATCAAGATCACATAGATATTTCATAGGTAGATGCTAATAGAACTTTAAAAAAAAAACAGATAGGAAACAATGCTAAAAATAATACAGCTTATACTTTGTGTTAGATATTTACAAAAAATAAAATCTGATCCCTTACATTTTTAAATAATGATACTTTCCCAAGGATATCTATAAAAAGAATGAATGAAGTAAATGAAATGTTTGTAGAAATCCTTGGAATCTCATATGATGTGGTCTTTCAAGTTAGATTTGTAGTGTTTGTTACTTATGAGGCCAGAATAGGTAAGGGATTGGTTTCCTAAATTTTGTTTTGTGTTTGGGCATGAGTTTGGAAGAACCTCACATTACTCTACATCTTGCTTTAGATAGATAGCATGTATTAACACCATTAACTGATTCCTAATCATAACCATAGATTTTTAAAAACTAATACCCATAGAGGCCACAGAAGACTCAATAGGTTAGACTAAACAGGAATGGAGTATTTTACTGAAACAAAAGGAGACCATCTCAAGCTTCCCTATTAAATATCTTGGGAGGGTTTGAGGGCAAGACTTTCACAACTTTTTTTTTTTTTTTCCTATGGGTCTATTTCTTCTAAAGTTGAAGGTAACGCTATTATGGCTTCACTGGAATCATATTTGGTCCATGGAATAAATCTGATTATCCTATCTGTAACATTTTCCTAGATAGCTTCCAGAAAAGGTTTATCTAATTAGAAGCAATGTACTCTTAATACCTTTTTGAAAGCTTCTATTTCTTTGAATTCCTGTTTTATACGAGACAAGACAGTAGAGTGTGAATCAGACAAAAATGACGTAGTGGCAACCACCTTTATGAGAAACTTTGATTCTTTTAGTTTTTCTTTTGAATTAAAAGGGTGACAAAGCAGAATGTGAAGATATGGAAAATGTCCTGACTAACTTTTAGGAATGTTTGAGAATTCAGAATGCAAATCCAAAATAGGAAATTGGTCCTGATTTTTAACACCAGTTGCTTAGACAATTCAGCATATGGTTGGACATTTTGCCATATTAAAAACATAAATGTTAATGCTGAGAAGAAGGTAAAGCTGGCAAGTCAACCAAAACTCTGAAAATGGCCTAGCATAATATCTCAAACCAAACATTTGGCTCCTTTGTCAAATGGCAATTGTTAGTTACAAATAGTAACATCAGAAAGTGGAAAGAGTTTAGCATTTCAATTTTTCATCTACTTGTCATATATTATATAAATGTTGTTTGCTGGTCTCAATTCAACACTCCACGGGTGGAGTCCTCAAAACAAGCCATCACAGATAATTTGGAATAACTCAGCACTTACCTCAAAGTGCATCTTTGAAAGGTACTAACATAGTCTTTAATGAGCTGTTTACTCTGAATTTTCTTTCAAAGTCTGTCAAGTAAAAATCTGAAATCCTCTACTCTCTTAACTTGCCCTAAAATAGCACAGGCAACAATTTGTGAAGTCCACCCAAATGCAGTTTGCTCTTTATCAATCCAACCTAACATTGCTTGGCTAAAGTATCAGCTTAACCTTGTATAGATGTGCTAATGACTCTGTTTTTGAGATTTTTGTCAGGACATGGCTATTTATTCTGGCTCTTTCTGTAGTTCCACAGACCGCAGTAACTTTGACATTACAAGATTTTATCTCTGTTCTCTTCTATAGGAATGAGACCTTCTCAGGGGAAGCCAGTGACTGATTTATTACTGACGTCATGTTATTTCTTATTTCTAATACTTTATATATTACATACTTTAATGCACACGACTTAAATTACTTGTCATCTGTTAGTTTGATTTATACAAGTGATCAAATAGCATGCTTTCTGCTCTTAAATATAAATCTCTATTTATATGTATGTATGGAAATACCGGTAATGTCCTCCCGAAGTACACTTCTGAATTCCTTTTATCATCTCCTGATGGGTAATACTGAATTCACTCCCTGGGTAAAGAAGTGTAGCCATAACAGCAGCCTTGGAATGAGTATGGATCACTGCACCTGCTCCTAAGATAAGAAAAAGGCAAAAATGAATTATTTTGTAATTATTTTTTTAAAAAAATCTATTAAGAATAATTTATTCATATATCTTTTTCCTATGACCAGGCACCTTTGCAAATGTTGCTTATTCTTTTTGAGGGAGAAAATATATAGCAACTTAAAGAAAGTTAGGAAATAACCACTCATCTATGAAGGATAATTATGAATCATTTTAGGACACCAATATCAACTTCTAGTACCAATTTGAGGACAAACACTATTTTTATGTTTCATTATATATTGTAGTAACAGTCTAACTTTATCAGTGTCCTAAGATTCTAAAGAATTACCAAGTTTACTTGCGAGGAGAAAATTTAGAGGCTTTTAACATCTTGTTATGCAGATATACTTCCCAAATTATCGATTAATTATCTGAAAAATTATTGTTATTTTATTTTCACCATGTGCCATGAAGGAAAGAGGCATAATTATAATTTATTGATAAAACTGCAATCTTGCTAAAAATATAAATTGAGTTTTCTTCGGCTACATATATCAATTTATTGAACAGGAAGATCAGAAGAGATTCCCTAAATCCCTACAAAAACTTTCTACGGCTGTCCATCCACAGGGACTCTAATCCAGCCCAGGCTTGGAAGAGAAAAGTGAAGAACATTGAGGCAATACTGCTACCTAAATGTAACAAAGAATTGCAACAAATGAGCTTTCTGCAACACCTCAGATGCCTCCAAACTGGAAACTGACAACTTAATTCTGAGCAAAAGGCAAGTTTCATACTTTTCATACTTTTAGAACCTTTGACCAGAGAAGCAGCATTTAAAATGATCTAATAATAAGCAAAACTGCTGGTATAAAGCTGTAGTAACCTTCTTTCCAGGCCCCCAAACTATGAATACACTGCACTAAAAATTGGTGCTGTAACTATGACCAGAAATACTATCGAATCTGAAGGTTAAAGTCTGAACGTACCTCACAGGATGTAACCATGGACTATCTCCCATTCTACACATTCTTGTACAAATTAGTTCAGTTTCATGATTCAATGATAATTTCCATAAAGAATCCTGATACTGAACTTTGATTCTGTGAACATAATACTAATTACATACCTCTCATAGTGTAAGCATTCATAAAAAGTGGTGTACACTGGCTTTTCTTTAGTTTCTTGTGTGCTGGAGGCCCGCTGATGTCCTGTTCTTTTATGTCACAAACAAACATATCTTCTGGCTGTGAGAAAAAGGAAATTATTTAAACTGTGATGATCCAGACTGTTTTGTTTTTCCTTCTTGAGACTATACACAGACGTATGTATATATACATAAACACCTCCCATACAGTCAATACAGAATGCAATTTAAAATTTGATATAATGTACCACATTCATACTCACTTCTAGTGCTAATTACTATCACTGTGTCAAGTAAATGTTCACAAATGTAAAACATAATAGGAAGGGGGAGTTTATAGCTAAGTAACATGCAATCCACCTAACAAAAAGAATTAACTTACTAAGAGAAAGAAACGTAGATATATTCTTTCTTTCCTTCTTAAAGAATCAATGAAGACTATATATTAAACCTACATAAAATATATTTAAATTGTAGAACTTCTTTTTCCTTAATTTTGCCTTTAGGAGCTTTTTGCAAATGTTCTCTTTCCATCACTCAAGTATTTGTAATAGTGCAGAATACACAGAACTGTTCAGCGTGGGG